CACAGGAGCGAAGTTCCGGCGGGCTTCAGAGTTGGCCATGCCCACCACAGCCAAAACCTCTGCGTGCGTGGCTACAGAGGGAAGGCCTGGAGAGTGACCCCCCCGGCGACTCCAAGGCGGGTGGGCTGGGTGGGCCTGGAAGGATTGGGGAGGCATTTAAATGCCTCCCTGTGCCTCCCCCCAGCTTGTCCAAGGGCCAGCTTGCCCGGGCTCCCCGCAGCCGCAGGGCGCCCGGGTAAGCCAAGGGAAGGCATGTGGCCTAATATGCTAATGAGCTGCACTGTCAGGGATGTGGCCTGATATGCTAATGAGTTTCTGCTGTTGGATGTGGCCTGATTATGCTAATGAGTTCCTGCTGGGCTTTTCCTGCAAAAAAAGCCCTGCTCACAAGACCCCACCAGTTTAGAGGGAGCATTGCCTATGACCCATTTTTCTAAAACAGACTGTGTTAAAGAGTCCTCCCAGTACTAGGTACAACAACCATACTTGGATCCAGTTTTGTAACTGAAGCCTCAAGAGTTAAATCTATTAAGCTTTCTAGACTTTTTCTTCTATATGAACACTAATAAAATGTAGTAAATATGTTACACCCACCAATTATTCCTGTTTGCAAAAGCATGGAGAACCTTCTCAAACAGAGGTTTTCCTTCACTATGTAAGGGAAAGCCTCAAAGTCTGAAAAGACTCTCCATATAAGACTGGAAGAGTTTATGTTGTAAAGACTCTGCAGGGCAGAGTAAAAAATCTTAAATTCTTTATTGCCTTCATTTATACCTCCTTTCCCCCCAATGGAAACCCAAAGCAGCTTACATCGTTCAGTACTGCCAATGGGTTGGGATCCAATCTGCTGTTCTGCTTGGTGAAAAGAGGCGGGAGACCTTTTGACCATTGTAAAGGCTAAGGTGGGGTTCATAGGACCAGGATGGACAAAAGCCAAGTGGGCAGGGGGCTGTAATAAAAAGGGTGATTGGGGGATACTGAGCAAAAACTGGATGGCTCCAAGCCTGTATCTCGATCTTAATACATGCAACAGGCTACTATAATTTACATAACGCAAGACCCAAGGTTTAGATACCCGTCTAGGATTTACAGTGCAATCCCAAGAGCACTTTCCTAGGTATAAGCCCCAGAGAATAAAACAGGATGTCCTTCTATGAAGACCTGTTTAAGATTTACCAAGCTTAATGGAGCAGAATAAGGGAATCGTCCCCAGGTAAGCAATACCTGCATTCTTCCATACCATCCCAAAGCACCAATTTCCATAACTGCTGACACATCAGAGACAAACACATGGAACTGCAATAGCCCTGCATACTCATTTCAGCTTTCTCTACACAAAACCAGCAGGGGCAGCGGTTATGAAGTAATAGAGGATTACAGGTCCACTGGCGTCACCAACAATCCAGTTCTTGAATACCTAGCATATTAAACGGCAACATTCATTTCTCCAAATAGTACATACAGTTAGAAGTCAAGGATGGGTTACCTGGCATAGCCTATGATTAGACTCCCAAAGACTGTTCCAATACCAGCACCAGAACCGGCCACTCCTACTGTGGCAGCACCAGCACCAATAAATTTGGCAGCCGTGTCTATGTCCCTGCTGACTGCACTAGTTTGAAACTTCCTTAGTGCTAACTGGGTGCTGGTATCCTGAGGTCCAGTAAGAAAAGTCGTGTTGCCCTTCAAAAGGAGAGAAAAAATTAAGGTTAGAGTCCACAGTTCCTGGAAGGCTACACGGTTGTATTACGGAAGTCACAGGCATTCTACGAGAAAGAAGACATCTCAGTTTGTCAATAACTAAAGTACTCAGGCAGATCATAAGGGGGGGGGAGGGTTGCATCAGTGCTTAGTTCTCGTGATCCTTTGGCCATCTTCTGGGCATAGAGCAGGGGTCACTGGGGGTGTGTGGTGGGAGGCATTTGTGAATTTCCTGCATTGTGCAGGGAGTTGGACCAATGTTCCCTCCAAGCTGTGGAGTCTTGTGAGCAAAAATTCTACTTTGTGAGCTATCGACGTTAAAGTTGTGAGCGAGCGATTTCGCTCCTGCATGAATTAGCTTGCTCTGGAGCCATCCTTCCTGAGCTAAGACAAACAATGTGTGAGCCGGAGGCTATTAAATTGTGAGCTAGCTCACACTAACTCAGCTTAGAGGGAACACTGAGTTGGACTAGATGACCCTGGAGGTCCCTTCCAACTCTATGATTCTATGACTTGAACTCCTTCCCATCCCATTCCCCCCCCTAAAACTGTCCAAAAGCAAGTTAAGTCCACAAACAGGAAGTATATGTCAATCACCATAATAACTTCACAACTTTTTTCAGCTGCAGATCATCCTAGGTGTCTAGGAGCTTCCAAGAGAAAGCTACCTGCTCCATGATGGTCTTCACATCTTTCTGGAGCAGGGGTCATTCCATAGAAAAAGAGGTGCAGGAGCTCATTAGCATAACTTATTAGCATATACCACACCCCTTAAAAGGTAAAGGTTCCCTTGCTCGAAAGCCAGTCAAATCCGACTCTAGGGTTGCGGTGCTCATCTCCGTTTCAAAGCCGAAGAGCCAGCGCTGTCCGAAGACATTTCCGTGGTCATGTGGCCGGCATGACTAAACACCAAGGCGCACGGAACGCTGTTACCTTCCCACCGAAGTGGTACCTATTTATCTACTTGCAATTTCTTGCTTTCGAACTGCTAGGTTGGCAGGAGCTGGAACTAGAGACAGGAGCTCACCCTGTCTTGCGGCACCCGGGTCTTGAACCGCTGAACTACTGACCTTCCACAGCCTGCAGTTCAGCGTCTTAACCACTTGAGCCACCGCAGCTCCCACCACACCCCTTACATCACCGGAAATGTGTCAGAAGGCAACACCCACCACTCAGGCTCCACTGGACTGTTTTGGATTGCTAGCTATTGGGGGGGGGGACGTGCAGATCTGCCTTCACAGAGGAGGGAGAACTTGTACCTGAAGGCGGGCCGGGGGTGGGTGGGTTCTGCAACTTACCTGGCTGCTTCTTGCTCCTCGTGGTCTGAGGGCTGCTGGGAGCAGGGGGCGGGGCTTGTTGCATGTGCCTGCCCCCGGGGCTCCTTACTGCGGAGCTCTGCTCTTGTGCGCTCCCGCAGGAAATGACCCCTGTTCTGGAGCATTTTCAATCGGAAAACTGTAATTCTCTAGTTTTCAGGAGACTTTTAGAAACAGCTTTCCATCTAAGTGGCCTGGAGACATATATGAATTTAGAGCTTTGTCCCATGGCAATGAAACACTACCTAGGAATCAGACATAAGTAGGTCCAAGTCCCTTGGATGAAAGCTAGATTAATATAACCAAGTTGGTTGATCATCAGTTACAAGTCTACATTTAACATTATTTTAGGCACTGCAATAATAAGTGAAATATGTACAGTTAAGGTCCCTCCAAAATTTGCTTTTTAGCATGAGTCCTTGACCAGAGCTAGAGTTTAATATTTTGTTGTGTAACTAGGACAAGAACACACAAGCTCACCAGACAGTTTAAAGATTGGAAGACACAGAATTGTTTAAGGTACCTCGCCAGTCCTGATTTCCGGCCTAGACAACACCGAGGCAGAAATTGGTCTGTACAGGATTCTTGACCCCGCACGCATCTGAAGGAGGGAAAGCATACCAAGATATGACCACAGTTCATACAGTTTTCCAAGAACAGTGATATACTCTACAGAGTCACAGGGCAGTAATTCCACCCACAGACTACAGTCCTTGGTCCTCAAAACCTATCATAGTGTACAAGACCTGGGGGCTTGCTAAGAGGTCATTTTCACCTCTAGACAGCTTAACTACACAAGACACTGTAAATGCCAGCCTCAGTCATTAAGACCATCTGTCCCTGAAGTCTGACATTCACTGTTGGCAACTAGGGGTTGACAAGAACACTGGTCTTCTATAGGTCAGCTCTAACTGCTTATTCCCCAGGAAGTAAAAGGTACACTGTTTATAGGCATATTGTGCTTTTTTGGGGGGGGCACCCAAGCATGCTTGAAAAAAAATTACAGTACTCTCTGTACAGTAGTTTCCCATAAGTACAGTAGTTTCCCATAAGCCGCCCTGAGCCCGCTTGCAGGGAGGGCGGGATATAAATTTGATAAATAAATAAA